GGCATTTCTGTGTGGGTTCAGAAGACCGGCCTTCCGGCTAGTAGTTGAGCCAGCGACAGGTCTTTTATTGATTTGTTTGTTTGTTTTTAAAGAGTTCAACTTGTTTTCATTATTCTTATTTTTAAACATTTTGTTGGGGGCTTGTACAACTCTTATCACAATCCATCCATCCATCCATTGTGCCAAGCACATTTGTATATTTGTTGCCATCATCATTCTCAAAACATTTGCTTTCCACTTGAGCCCTTGGCATCAGCTCCTCCCCCCACCCACCCCACCTCCCTCAGGAACCCTTGATAATTTATAAATTATTATTATTTTTTCATGTCTTACACGCTACTGGTCTTTTAAAGAGCGATTGGGGTTCTTTCAAGGATCTGTCTTTCCTTCCGAAGTGCTTGAAATGATGAACCTCAGATATGACTTAACCTTTATGGAAGATGCTGAAATTATGAGAAATAGACTATTAATCCAGTGGAAGATACTTGCTATTGGGTACTGGTCACATTCTACTATCACTCCCTAGAGAGACTTGAAGTATGTAGATTTTGTCCTTGAGAAAGTGTCACCAGTTGTTTTTACTTTTCAAAAAAACCCCAAAAGAGCAGAGAAGCAAGGATAGCATTGCTTTCTAAGCTTTACGACCGTAGTAATGAACTTCCCTTTGCCGGGTACATTTAAGAGCTCTTTCTGTTTCCACCCAGAGGACACTTGGGTTGACGTAATCACATGGGAGCCAGCCAAATGAAGCGTATAGGGCAACTTGGTTCACTTATTGAATTTTTTTCATTTGTTGTTATTGTTGTCATTTTAATACTGCCTTGTTCTTCTCTTGTGTGTTTTATCTTAAAATCAGGCTGAAGAACTGCATCCTGGGTATTCCAAGTCCAATTACTTCTATTTGGCGAAGGTAATGAAGACCATGGTTTTAAGATTACTTAGAGCCCATGTCCTTGAAAGTGTGGTTGCCTCTCATATTATCTTTCCTCTCCAGTGCTGTCTAGATCTTAATAAGAAGAAGGATGCTTTGGAGTTCTGTAAATTGGGATTATCACTTTCTTCAGTTACCAAAGAGGTAAGTCCCAACGGTGACAATGAAGGCTGTGAACATCCGGATCCCATTCCAAGCTTAAAGTATGGACAACTGAATTAGATGCATTTCATGTTTTCTTTTATGCTAAATCATTTCTACTTGAATTTGATGTCTACTGTGAAGGAGTCCCTGGGTTAAGCTCTAGCCCAGTGTCAACCCACTCAGAAAGCAGGTCTGACCATCTCCTAAAGTGCCATCACCTTGGAAATCCCTTAGAGCAGTTCCACTCTGACCCCACGAGGTCACCATGTGTCAGAATTGACTTCATAGCAAATAGTAACAAGAGCATGAAGTACAAAAATGATTTTTTAAGTTGCTCTCTCCCCTTAGATAACTAACCAGTCACTAGAAGATCTCTTGTATTGAGATGAAGCTAGCAGTTAAAACATACTCAGTGCTTGTTGTTGGGGGTCAGAAATCAGGAAATGGGGCAAGGTGATGCTGGGGAACTGGGGGTTAAACTACAACAGAAAGCTAACAAGAGAGACTGTCCAGATTAGAGCTATAGGATGAGTGTACAAAGGATTGCCATCATCAGACCCCAGGTGGGTCCACTCATCAGAGTATGGCTGCCCAGGCTAGAAGAACATTAGAAATGAAGATTCACATTTTATTGGCCTTTAGATACCTGCTACTACTAAAAAAGCAAATGTAATTATGGTGTTACAGTGCTTCAGTTGCCCTTGGTAAAGTACATCCATCACCAATTGTTGAAACTCTTCCTAAAAAGACAAAATCCCCTCATAATAAATGGCAGCTCCATTCTCCTAGCTGGGAATCTTCATGGACACCTTCTTCTCCCTCAGCATATCCAATCCAGACATCTACCCAGTCACCAAGGTCTTGAATTTGTCTTATAGAACATGCCTTGAACCATCACACTGCTTGACTCGGGTCGGGACCCTGCTTTCATTCACATACACTGGGCCTTATAGTAGCCTCCCAACTCAGGGCACCAGCCAGATCATTGTTGGCTCAGTAGAGCAGCCAAGGCGGCATTCAAAGCATAAGCTTCAATCTGTCACTTCGCTACATAAAACCCTTTGCTTCTAGGGTGACGTCTAAGTTTTAGTATATCCTTTTATACTGTGGTCCAGCTCCCAATACAATAGCTCAAACTTCACTTGTCCCCCTCTCCCTCTCCTTCCAGGAGTATGGGTGTTGTCCTGCGTCAGGGTCTTCCCTGCTGTGCACCCTTTGTACCTACGATCACTTCTTCTGGAAACACTCCCACCCAACCCTCCACTCCTTTCATCAGCCTTATTTCTACTCACCTCTCAAGCCTCGGTGGAAGAGTAATTTCTTCAGGAACGAATTCCTTGGTGCTCCCAGTCAAGACAACACCCTGTACTTATCATATCACTTAGCACAGTTGGGATTTTATATTGATCTATACCATTGTTTATGTAATGTCCATCCACCATGCTAAACAGTCAGTCCCATGAAAGTAGTAACTATGTCTATTTTTGTTCGCACTTTATCCCCGGTGTCAAGTATTGAGCCTGGTACATAATAAACACTCAATAATATTGGTAGAAGGGATCAAAAGACTACTACATATTGTACAAAAAAGTAACAGTGATGATGATGATAAAATAGACCTGATGATAACTTAACCGAGAAAACTAGACATTCTGGAAGTATTTCTACAAGAAGCAAAACGTTCAGTGCCATTGAGTCAATTACGGTGCATACTAATAAGCAAAACCGCATTAGTAAATATTTCCTGTATGACATTTTTTATTTTCTTTGATGATGTCTCTGCTTGATATTCTTAGGAATGTCTTTGCAAGTAACTGTACATGTCCTCAATTTCTTTTTTCAATGAGAAAATAGGATGAGGTGAGATATATGTTGTACTCCCTATCTCTATCGAGTTTTGCTAGGTAAAATACACTCACTCCTCACTGACCAACATGGTCAAGTTCTAAAGACTAGGTTATTATGCCAAATTAGCATTATCCAAAACTGGAGGGTGATCACTTTCTATCGCAAAATAGAGGAAGACTATATCACTATATAACTGCCAAATCCATCAGTACAAAACTGCCAAGCCACCGAGAATCATGGCCTAACCAAGTTGGTGTAAATTCCATCACAACCAGAGTTGCACTCTCTTCACATCTCTTGTTCCTTCCAGACACATGTGCAAAATAGATAGTAAACATTTTACTGTTATTATAGATGTAAAATGTTGGAAATGAGATAGTTGTCAGGTAAAGAGTACATACTGTATATCCCATTATTGGTTTGGCTGGCTGGTTTATTCATTTCCAAAATAAAAGTCTTTCAGTGCCACTACGTCTACGGATGACTACCGAGCCATTAGTTGCCCCACCTCATGTGAATTTGCATAGATTTAACAGCTTTCTCGGAGCATTTGTAGCGTCTTCTATTTTCATTCCCTATCAGGGAACGCTAAGCTCATCACGTTGCTATTTGACATTGGGAATGTCAGCCATTTGGGTTCTAGATCCAAGATTCATGCTTGTAAGCAGATCCCCACTCCCTCCCCCCGCCCCAGATTTTGGAAGTGCTTTACTCTGCAGAGGTAACCTCAGGTCCTGAGAAACACTCCTTATTCACAGTACAAGGGATTCCCATGTCTAAAGCAGCATGAGAATGATTGCTGAATGAAGTGATGACTTCATCATCAGCCTGAAAGTTACTTGCCTGGCTGCAGCATGAAAGCCCATTGACTTAGAGTGTACTGAGAAGGTATAAACGAAAAAGGTATAAACTTAAAGCATTTAGCTTTACCGTGGCCAGGTACGACTCTGGCAAAAACTGCATTTTAAAATGATGATACTGGGTTGTGACATTTAATTACCCTTCTAATAAAAATAGACGTTCCTAGGGCAGTAAATACCGGATCCCTGTGTATCACAATTGTATCCTCTTGCCACACTTAAAACAATCTATATGCTGAACAACAAAATCTATATGCTGAACAACTAATCCTAAGAACTTGACTGTATGAAGAATGATACAGCACCCAAGATTGGAGGAAGGCATATTAATAACTGTGATAAGCAGATGACATGAGCTTGCCTGCTGTAAGTGAGGAGGCCTTGAAGGTAAGCACTTGCTTATGAAAGTCAAAGCCCCCCACGAGCCTACTACAAAGAAAACAAAACACGCACAACCAGAACAGTAGACACCATCGTGACAAATGGGGGAGCGGCGGAAGTTGTCAAGGGTTCCATTTTGTTTAGATCCACAATCAATGCTCATGAAAGCCGCTGTCAAGAAATCATATTCTGCAAGATAGGACAAAATAATAATTTATAAATTATCAAGGGTTCATGAGGGAGGGGGGAGCGGGGAGGGAGGGGAAAATGAGGACCTGATGCCAGGGGCTTAAGTGGAGGGCAAATGTTTTGAGAATGATGAGGACAATGAATGTACAAATGTGCTTTACACAGTTGATGTATGTATGCATTGTGAAAAGAGTTGTATGAGCCCCTAATAAAATGATTTAAAAAAAGAAAAGATATCATATTCCATTGGGCAAATCATCTTCAAAAGACCTCTTTAAATTTTTTTAAAAAACATTTACCTAATGCAGTGTATCATTGATCTCTTGACTCCTGCTCCCATGAGCATTGATTGTGGATTCAAGCAAGATGAAATCCTATACAACTTCAATCTTTTCTCCACTTATCATGATGTTTCCTATTGGTCCAGGTGTGAGGATTTTGGTCTTCTTTACATTGAGTTGTAATCATACTGAAGGCTGCAACCCTTACTCTTCATCAGCAAGTGCTTCAAGGCCTCCTCTCTTTTAACTAGAAGGGTTGTGTCATCGGTATCATAATTGTTAATAAGCCTTCCTCCCATCCTGATGCCTGATTCTTTTTCCCATAGTCCATCTTCTAGGATTAGTTGAGCTTACGTAGTTTGTGAAAAACAGAGGACTGAATGAAGGTCAATTGCTGAGAAGCACCCACCTAAGTAAATGGGTGAGGGAAGAGGAATCTGCAAGTAAAACTGAGAAGAAGAGAGAAAAGTTGTGTTAGGAGCCAAAGGGTGTAAAAGTGGTCAACGATGTCAGATACTATCAAGAAGTCAAGAAGCAAAGGACTGAAATGACATTGCTCAGTGCCCTGTTGTGTTGGACATTGCTGACCTTGACCCAGACTTTTTAAGAGGATGGTAGAGGGGAGACAAGTGTGCAGAGTGGCCAGAGATGAGAAAATGCAACCACTATGTATAGACACCCTTCCAAATACTTTGATGGGGAGAGAAGGAGGGATGTAGGAAGATGTTAAGGGAATCATTGAGTGAGTATTTGAGATGAGAAACATGGGAGCATATTAAAACAGTAATGGGAAAGGACTACAAAGATAGATTGTCCAGAGAAAGGGATAAGATCTTGTGGAAAAGGATCAGAGAAAAAGGAACACAGAGCACATTGGGGCCTCTGTGTCACAGACTAAGGAGGAGCACACAAGTTTTTAGATTTGTTGTGACCCAGGGTGAGTATCAGGGAGGGAGTAAGAGGTTTAGACTTTTTCTGAGAGAACTTTAAGTAGATAGAAAATAAGTCAAAATAAGAGCTGACTGATAGAGCAAATTACGTCAGAGAAAAATACCCCTTAAAAGAACCTGTTGACGTTGAAAAGTTGGTATCATTATTGAGAGTAATTGAATAAATGACCCAAAAGAGTGGGTCATTTCTTTTTTTTTTTTTTTAAACATTTTATTAGGGGCTCATACAACTGTTATCCCAATCCATACACACATCAATTGTGTAAAGCGTATTTGTACATCATTTCTCAAAACATTTTCTCTCCATTTAAACCCCCGACATTAGGTCCTCATTTTTCCCCTCCCTCCCCGCTCCCCCCTCCCACATGAGCCCTTGATAGTTTATAAATGGGTATTTTGTCATATCTTGCCCTGTCCAACGTCTCCCTTCATCCACTTTTCGGTTGTCTGTCCCCCAGGGAGGAGGTCACACACAGTTCCATGTAATCGGTTCCCTCTTTCCTACCCATTCTCCCTTTACCCTCCCTGTTTTGCCACTCACACCACTGGTCCTATAGGGCTCATCCATCCTGGATTCCCTGTATTTTCAGTTCCTATCTGTACCAGTGTACCTCCTCTGGTCTAGCCAGTCTTGCAAGATAGAATTCGAGTCATGGTAGTGGGAGCGGGGAGGAAACCTTTAGGAACTAGAGGAAGGTTGTATTTCTCATCATTGTTACATCGCATCGCACCCTGACTGGCTCATCTCCTCCCCGAGACCCCTCTGCAAGGGGATTTCCAGTGGCCTACTAATGGAAGAGTGGGTCATTTCTTCTGTTAGCCGTGGAGCGCTTTAACTATTGCACCACCTGGACTCCTTGTCAAGAGAAGAGGATGCATCTTTTAGGGGAAGAACTGTGTTGGCTCCTGGCTCAACCAAGGCATGCTCATGGAATGGTGGAGAATGGAGATGAGGAGGCCAGGTTCTACAAGGCCAGGATTTTATATACACCGTCTGTGGGGATGGTGAAGTCTCCAACAGCAATAGTAGAACTTGGTGTGGGGAGAGAGTGTGACCCAGACCTCAAAGACATTAAAAAAAAATAATAATAACAATACATTCCAAGGAGTGTGACCAGGAGTCGGTCAGAGTTGGGTAAGTGTTTAACTGGTAACCACACAGGCATCATTTTAAGACCACCAGCAGCTATGCAGGAGAAAGTTGAAATTATCTGCTCCCCTCATTTGATATCTTGACTGCTGCTTCCATGAGCTTTGTTTTTGGATCCAAGTAAAATGAAATCCTTGACAACTTCAGTCTCTTCTGTTTATCATGATGTTATGTATTGGGAGAATCCAGTATGTCAGCTTACAAGGAAAGTCTGTCTTCCCCGTGTCCCAGTGTTCCTAAACTAGTGAAGAAAGAGTTTGGAATTAACACTCTCATTACCCACAGTCTCAAAGATCTTGATTATAATATGTCCTCAGAAATTCAAGATTTCTTTGTAATGGGCAATCTAAAAATATGCCCTCATTTTTAAAAAATTATGTCAAAGCACAAAGAATATTAAGATGAATGTGTGAAATTTCATTACATTATGAATTACATTACATTACATTGCATATTTCTCTTTTTTTCTAGGATAAAGAAATACAGAAAGCAATAGAAAATATTATCACCTCCTTGAAGAGATAAATAAAAGAACTTACTCTCCAAAAAATCAGATGTGGTCTACTAAAATTTAAGCTAATCAAATTTGTGGGGGCTTTTTTATCCTTTTTAATTTTCATGTAAGGGTAATATGTTCAGATTTGAAAGTAAAAATCAAAATTCTGAAAAATTAATTCCAGTAATAGCACTACAGAACTAATCATGTTCCACTTACTATCAAAAAGATCTATAAGCATGTATGCTTTTTATTTTCACTATCAATAAACCATAGTCTTCAGAATATTTGAATAAAATAAATCAGACCAATGAAATGAATTGAAGTGAGTATTTTATTTTGGCTTTCATGGAGATGGAAAATAATTTAATCAATACTAATAAAAAGTGTAAAATATGACAGTATAAATCCATTCATAAAGGTGAAAGAACAAAAGGAAAATATTGAAGCTGGTGATCTGAGAAATGGAGATAAAATTACAATAGATCTTGGTTTAGTTAGCAAGGGGGTTTTCTTTCAGGAAGCTTCTCATGGTAGCAGTGATGCCAGGAGGTGGCACACAGAAAGATATTTTCCTATAAGCATTTTATAAAATACATGTTTTATTCAGTACCACTGAGTCAGATCCAAAACTCAAAGCCACCACATACCCAAGAGAAAGATGAGATTATCTGCTCCCATAAAGGGTGACAACCTCTAAAACCCTCTATAGGATTGTTATGAATTGGAATTGGGACTGGATGGCAGTTGGTTTTTGTTTTGTTTTTGGGGTGGGTGGGGGGTTTGTGTGTGTGTAACCATTCCCCAAATGAAAATGGGGAGGACTCGAAGCACTTGCTGATGAAGATCAAGGATTGTAGCATTCAAACAAATCCAATCAATACAAATATTACTCACATTTATGCAGCAATCACAAAATTAGTGATGAAGAAATTGAAGACTTCTACCAACGGCCAGGCAGAAATTGATCAAGCATGTAATTGATAATTATTAGCAGTTGGAATGCAAAAATTGGAAAGAAAGAGGAAAGAACAGTAATTGGAAAATATGAGGTTGGCGACAGACATGAAGTGGAGATCACATGATAAAAGTTTGCAAGACTAATGATTTTTTCATAGCAAGTATCTTTGTTCAACAACATAAACGGTAACTGTATACATGGACTTCCCCAGATGGAATACACAGAAATAAAATTGACTACTACATCTGTGGGAAGAGATGATGGAGAAATTTCATATTAGAAGCTAAAACCAGGATAGGGGCTGACTATGGAACAAATCCTCAACTGCTTATGTGTAAGTTCAGGTTCAAGCTGAAAAAAATGTTTTAAAACTCCATGAGAGCCAAAATATGACCTTGAATCTACCCACCTGAATTTTGAGAGCATCTCAAGAACAGGTTTGATGTATTGAATACATCACAGAAGACCTGATATGTTGTGAGAAGACATCAAGAATATCATTCATGAAGAAAGTAAAAGGTTATTCAAAAGAAAGGAAAGAACGAAAAAATCAAAGTGGATGTCAGAAAAAGCTCTGAAACTTTCTCTTAATTGTAGAATAGCTAAAACAAATGGAAGTAATGATGAAGTCAAAGAGCTGAATAGAAAATTTCAAAGGGCATCTTGACAAGACGAATATTATAATGAAATGTGCAAAGACCTAGAGTTAGAAATCAAAAAAAGGAACAACATGCTTAGAATATCTGAAACCGAAAGAATTTTTTAAAAAGCCAGGCCTTGAGTAGCAATATTAAAATATTTCATGGGCAAAATATTGAATGATGCAAGAAGCCAAAAAAGAATATGGAACGAATACATAGTCATTATATCCAAAAGAACTAATCAACATTCCATCACTTGAGGAATGGTGCTGAAGGAAGTTTCAAGCTGCACTGAAAGCATTAAGCAAAAACAGGAATTGCTGAAATACCAACTGAAATGTTTCAACAAGGTGATGGAGAACTGGAAGCAGTTACTGGTCCTTGCCACGAAATTTGGAAGACAGTTCTTTAGCCAACTGACTGGAAGAGATCCATATTTGTACTCATTCCAAAGAAAAGGAACTCAATAGAATACTCATGCTATAGAACAGGATTGATATCACATGCCAGTAAAATGTTGCTGAAGATCACCCAACAATGGTTGCAGCAGTACATTGTCAGGGAGCTGCCAGAGGTTCAGGACTGATTCAGAAGAGGATCTGGAATAAGTGATACTGTTGCTGATGTCAGACAAATGTTTACTTGTATTTTATTGACATGCAAATGCATTCAAATGAGTGGATCATACTATGTATGACTTTGAGAAGAATGGGAATTTCTGAACACTTCCTTGTGCTTATGCGGAACTTGTGCATGGATCAAGAGGCAATTACGCAAACAGAACAATACTGCAGGATTTAAAATCAGGAAAGGTGTGCATCAGGGTTATATCTCCCCGTCATACTTATTCAATATGTATGCTAATTGAATAATCAGAGAAGCTAGAATATATATATATATATTTTAATGGCATCAGGATTGGAGGAATGCTTATTAACAATGTGATATGCCAATGACACAACCTTGCCTGCTGTAAGTGAGGAAGAGGAGGCACTTGCTGATAAAGATCAAGGATTGCAGCCTTCAATATGGATTACAACTCAATGTAAAGAAAGCCAAACTCCTCATAACTGGACCAATAGGTAGCAACAAACTAAGCAGAGAAAAGATTGAAGTTGTCAAAGATCTTGCTTTGCTTGGATCCACAATCAATGCTTATGAAGGCAACAGTTAAGACATTAAAGAACACATTGCATTGGGTATATTGCACCATAAGACCTCCTCATATGAGGGGCTACCACTCCAAAAATGAATTGCACTGGCCAGAGTGTGGCTTTTTTTTTAACTTAAAAAAAAACACCTCATTTTATTGGGGGCTCATATAACTTTTTTTATATCATTTTATTAGGGACTCACACAACTCATCACAATCCATACATCCATCAATTATGTAGAGCACATTTGTGTATTCATTGCCTTCATCATTCTCAAAACATTTGCTCTCCACTTAAGC